ACCCTTTTATTATATAGGATAGAGGCCTGGTGCATGGGTGGGGCGCTGGCTGGTTTGCCCTGAAGGGTGTCCCGGATCAGGGTGGGGGTCCCGCTGGGGTGCCTGGCCAGCCTGGGTGAGGGGCTGATGGGTGTTTGCAGGCTGGTCACACCCCCTTCAAGGTGGGGGTCCCCACTGGGGTGCCTGGCCAGCCTGGGTGAGGGGCTGATGGCTGTTTTCAGGCTGGCCACACCCCCTTTAGGGTGGGGGTCCCCACTGGGGTGCCTGGCCAGTCTGGGTGAGGGGCTGAGGGCCATTTTCAGGCTGGCCAAGCCTCCCGGCGACAGAAGCTCCCAGCCTCTCCTTTTTTTCTTTTTCTTTTTTTCTGGGATTTATTTACCTTCTATAATTGAAACTTTGTAGCCCTGAGAGGAGCTCAGAGCCAACCAGGGTGGGCGGGAGGGAAGCTTGGCTTCCTCCATCGCCAGGGGAAACCCAAGGCTCCTGCTTGTTCCAGCTCCGTGGCCACCGCCGGCTGAAAGCAGGTATCTGGGGTTTATTTACCTTCTATAATTGAAACTTTGTTGCTTTGAGTGGAGCTCAGTGCCGGCCACCGCGGCAGGCGGGAAGCTTGGCTTCCTCCATCATTGGGGCAACCAAGCCTCCTGCTCACTCCAGCTCCGTGGCTGCCAGCCGCCATCTTGGTTGGGTTAATTTGCATATAGTCACTCTGATCGGCTGGTGGGCGTGGCTTAAGGTGTAGCAAAGGTACGGTCAATTTGCATGTTTGTCTTTTATTAGTGTAGATAGGATCCTGAGAAGCTTGAACTCTGGAATACATCCTAAGGCACAGTGCTCTGATAGGTCCTCTGAGCTTCCTTGGGATGCTTTTGGATGGAAGTTGGGTGAATAAAGGAGTAGGTAGGAGCTTGGGCCTTGGAGCTGGACCACTTGCATTTGCCTTTGCCAGCCAGGTGACCTGGAAATGTTACAGTATCTCTGCGTGCCTCAGTTTCCTCAGGTGTAAATGACAATAATACCTACCTCATGAGGTTATTAGTTAATGCATAGAAAATGCATGGAACCAGTGCTTGTCACACAGTAAATCTTCAATAAATATTGGCTATTTCTCTTACTGCAATAAGCACATGCAGTACCAAGTTCATTGAGTTACATAGCCTTTAAGCTTCACATATAATTTCTTTATATGACTGACTAGGACTAAAACCCAGGTCTCCTGACAGCCTGGTTAAACTTTTTGATACCAAGATTCCACTTATATATTTAATTCTCTGCTCTGAATATCTAGCATCTTTAGGGATAAAGAAGGCAGTTTCATTCACTTTGAAGGAAGAGTTTATAATCTCAATATAGTCTGGTCCTCTCACAACTAACAAGGTTATATTGATATGTCTCTCAGTGTGATTAATTAAGATTATATCTCATTCAGGACCAGATATTTCTTTGTTCTTTCTTTGATACCTTCTCTGATTTAGTTATTTGGAGTTATAAAATCAGGCCAATTTCTTTAAGAGTCTATGAAATGACTTATATATAGTTATGAGCACTCTGCACAATATAATTCTACTTATATAGACTATTATACTGACACTAGAGGCCCGATACACAAAGATTCATGCAAGAATGGGCCTTCCTTCCCCTGGCTGCTGGCACCACCTTCGCTCCAGCCCAGAGCCACCTTTCTGCCTTCCCACGCTGCCCAGAGGCCCGGAGCAGCTGGGGTGGTGCAGAACACCTGCGTCATCACCATGGTGACGACACAAGCATCCCACCCTGCCCTTCGCCGCTCAGTGCCTGCATATGCAAATTAACCTTCATCTTTGTTTGGTTAATTTGTATACTCACTCCTGATTGGCTGGTGGGGGTTGCAAAGGTACGGTCAGTTTGCATCTTTCTCTTTTATTAGTGTAGATAAGCTATATATTAGTAAATAGATCAGTTCTGGTCATGGTAGGAGATACATAGGCTGTCTTAGGTTCTTGTTATCTTTCTCCATCAACCTATTTCTACTCTTTTCCTGACTTGTGTCTTTTTTCTCCTGATTGCCCAGAAGTGAGTATTTTCCTTTTAGGGTCTTCCTATTCTTCTCTTCGTCCAAACTTTGCTTTATTTTCCCTGTCCACCTAAGGAGGGTGATAGCTCTTATCTAGTTACCCAGCACTAATTTCTGGCTCATTCTGAGTTATTGCTCTGTATTATAATTCTTGTTTAATAATCTGTTCCTTTCCACTAGTCTCTAGGTTTGTGAACACATATTTCCTATCTTGTGTATCATTGCATTTGTAGATCCTGGTGGAGAGTCTGGCACATATTAGGTGCTCAATAAACATTTTGGAATAATGCAGGGATGCATTCCTGGTCTGTTTCACTAACTCTAAGCAGTAAATCTATATTTGCCTTCAGCTTTCAATACTCAGGACAAGTGCTACCAATTTTAGTCCTAAGTCCAGGCTGGGATTTCTCCT